TGTGAGGCGTCCAAAGCGCTGCCAGCATTTCCAATTTATTTCTAGGGAGGGGGGGGGAAATGGACACATATGTAATACCCTTTGTAATAAAAAATAAAAAAGATTGGGAAGAGCACAATAAAAAAAAAATAAAAATTTAAAAAAAAAAAAAAGATAATACATAATATTTATCTAGCAATTTAGTTGTCATTCTGCTGACATTCAGCTTTCTTTCCTTTAAAACTGAGATTAAGTTATAAAAACATTCTCCCTTTAAACTTTCAAATTGCTGTGATTGGTAATATGATTTGCAGTAATTTTATTTTGAGTTTAAAATTGGCCTAACAATATATTACTGACTTTGATAGTTTGATTCATAATTACTAAGAAACCGCTAAGGTCAACATAGTTATTCCAGATTTTTGTAAGAAAAGCCTAGGTTTAATACTATTTAAATGGGTATTTCAACTTCAGTCACTGACAATCCATAGTTACTTTATTGTTTAACAAATATGTATTTAAATTCTACATTGTATTAGGCCTTATGTTGGAGAGGCAGTAATGAGAAGAACATAGTTCATATGCAGAAAGGCTTAAGCGCAGCAGGAGAGGTGGGCCGGAAAGTATAACAGTTTGATGAGTACTAAGAGGGAAAGAAAGTGTCAGGGCCAGGATGCTGTGGTAGTACATTAGTGGGGCAGTTGACCTTGGAAGTTCAGGAAAGGTTTTCTTAAGGATGTAATATCTAAGTCAAGGAATCAAATGTTGATTATGTCATGTGAATTATCAAAAGGACTTAGGAAGTTTCAGAGAAACTAGTGAGATGATGCAGTAAAGCCAGAATGGTGTTTTTGAATTGTTGGGGTGTGCAGTATGAAGATCTAATAGAGAGAAATGAGGTGGCAAGGCAATGATAGCAAGATCCTGAAAGTTGACTTTATTTGCAGACAATGAATGTACTTGGAAATGTCACTTAGGGGATTTAAGAATAAAGGGACGATCATTTATTGAACACTTGACTTATATAGAGACTCTAATAAATGTCTCAGATTAAAGGTTGTATGTTATAGTAGTAAGATAATAAAGGCTGGTGGGCTGAATTACTAGAGTTCAAAGCTAAACTAGACTATTTAGTAGCTTTTTGATGTTGGAAGAATTGCTTAATTTCTTTGAGCCTCAATTTTCTCATTTACATATGAACACCATAACACTACTTTTCTAAGAGACTACTATATGGGATAAATAAAGAAATAACTGAAAAAATCTTGTTATAGAATCTGCCACATAAACAAACAAACAAACAAATGTTAGTTTCCATTCTATTTATTACCCAGGGTCACACAGTTCAGCAATGTGACTTAAAACTGTAATCCAGTTCTATCCAAATCTAAAGTCTATAAATCGTCACTATTTTAAAGATGTTTAACTATTTTAAATTTGTTTTCACATATACAAAATGAGAACTAATAACAAATTATTTCAAAAGGTTAGGAGGTTGATGTGTGTGAGTGTTTTATATATTTTAAAGTGCTATATAGATGCTTATTATATCACTAGAAACCCAGTGTGCGAAAATGTGCAGCCCCGTGCACCCATGTCCACCTCGCCGTGCCCACTCTTTCGCGGGACTGCCTGCCAGCCACCAGCCTTGCTGCGATCGGAGCCTGTGGGCCGTGCCATGTGAGCCAAAATTGCTTGAGACCCCAAATCCTCCGTGTGAGGCGAGACCCCAGACTCCAGACCCACCGCAAGAGGTGGGACCACAGACCCAAGACCAGCCACGCAAAACAAGACCCCAGACCTGCTGCGTAAGGCAGGACCCATCAACGCATCTCCTGGTGACTGGTTGTTTGGTTGTTATGGCGTTATGGCCATGGGATTTTTATATATATGGATTGCATTCTAGAAGACCTGAGAACTTTCAAATAAGGTTGTTTTGTACAACTTAATAAAGTGTTTTTCTGCCTTAGCCATTTTTGCTCAGTGGATATAGCATCGGACTGTGAACCAAAGGGCATGTACCTAGGATGCAGGCTCCTCCCAGCCAGGCCCTGGTTGGGGCACATGAAGGAGGCAACCAATCAATGTGTTTCTCTCACATTGATTTCTTCCTGTCTCTCCCCCTCTCTTCCACTCTCTCTAAAAATCAATGGAAAAATATCTTCAGGTAAGGATTAAATCAATCAATCAATCAATCAATCAATCAAGTGTTTTTCTAGATCTCATTAGACTTGGAAGTCCCAGTGGGCATTTGGCAAATAATTGATGAATGAATGATTATTTGTGAATCTCAAGATCAGATTTCTTTTCTGTGCTAAAGGACTAGATTTCTCATTAGTTACAAACCACTTCACTTGAATGGACCCTCGCATCTGAAAGTAATTGACCCAAATCCAAAATAACAGATGTTCCCTTTCATTCCCCATTGACCCCCTTCTAGCCCACCCCTACTTCCCCGCCTCAGGCCTTCACCGCACTATTGTCTGTGACCATGGGTTATGCACATAAATTCTTTGGTATGAGCTAGTATTAATACTTATGAATGCTTTTCTTCTTTCAAAAACATTTTGGTTCCATTGTATTTTATCCACCAGACTGGAAATGCTTTTAAAGTAGTGTCCACATGATTAAGAGCCTGGACTTTAAAGCAAAACTCCCTGGGTTCAAATCCCAGCTCCAGTTGTGGGAAATCACTTATTTCTTTTTCACAATAATAACAATAACAACAATAATATGTAATCCATGAGTGCATATTAAATAAGTAAATACATGTAAGCAAAGAATATTGGCCTATAGCATGTACTGTGTAACTCTTGGTTGCTTATTATTATTAAATGTTATTGTTTTATATCCCACAACAATTGTTATAGTACCTTGTATACAGTAGCTGGTAAATGTTTTGTAATTAATTTATTAAATTCTACCTCTTTCACATTTTCAAATTTTTTTTCAAGAAATTAATGGTCATAGCAAATGAGGCTTAGTGATGTCAGATTCCTGACCAGTCCTGTCTTCCAGACTCTGGCATTTGAGTGAGGAAGAAAGTAAAGGCTCATAAACCACTTCCAATAATAGTGCGTCAATTGAAGATTTCAGCAAAAGATTTTATGGGTGATCAGTAAGAACTTTGTAAGGGTTGAGTGATTTATATTTTTCCTGGCATGATGTGTTAAATATGGAATAGGCACATAAATGACTCACTAATTTTCTTTGCAGTATTTGATTAAGAATATTGCAGGTCAAGAGCCTCAATCAACTCCTGTTAATGTTGCCATGGATCTGTTTGTAGTTGTGGTTATCTGTAGCTTGTTCCAGAATTTGCTCTTGGGAATGATCTAAAGTTAGCAATATATTTTGGCACTTAAATTTAATGCTAACTCTAGGGTTCCCATGATTCCAGAGTCAGTTTGGGGTCCTGTAGATTGGAACACTATGACTTAGATCTTCTCTGGTCCCAATGACCAGGCTGAAAATTTAGATGTTCCAGTGTTATTCTGGAGAAGATATTCTTAATCAGTGTTAGGCCCTGGAGCACTTTGAGAATCAGGTGGAATTATGAACTTTGCCCTCAGTTAAACTTGTGTAATCAAACTCACACTAAATTTGTCTTAGAAAGTCAAGGTTTTAATGGTCCCTGAGACATATCCACAGACTCAAGTTAGATCCAGTTGCATTCAATTGACTTTATTGTACAAGAACCAAAAATTTAAATGTCACATGAAAGTAGAATGTAAGGGGAGAAGAAAGAGCCGAATCGGTGAAAATCACATTCTCTCTTGACTGAAGGTAGACAAGTGGCCAAAGGAGAGTTTGAATTGGTTTCAACACCTATAAAAAAATGATGACAGTTTAGGAATTTAGTTCATAATCTGTTAATAGTTATCATGATATGTAGATTTCATTAAGTTTTCATAAGAAGAGTTTATCAAATTAAATATTTAAATGTAAATATTTAAGCTTGTCATACAGTGAACTGAAAATAACTTTCACCTAATATTTATAGACGGACACTGTCCTTTACATGCATATTTATAAGTGATTTTGTACAATGGTTTTAACTTAAAATCCATATTTGTGGGTTTTGAACAAATATAACTATAGAAATAATGATTATTCTATTAAAACCATAATCATGTAATAATATATTTTAGATCAATAAAATATATAGCTGCATACTAAATTACTTGCTTTCCTATAATCTCCATTTATTTTTCTCATTTTTTCCTAAATTTTAACACATCAAAATTTTATCCATCTTATCTTCTTTTTTTGTATTAGATGTCCTATTAAATATCACTGAAATAATACATTATACACATATGCTGATCTAAGTAAACAAAATTTTTTGTTTTTCTTCAAATTGGGCAGCCCATATGGAAATAGATGGCATAATAAATAAGCCTCACTATCTGAAATCAATAAGGACAAAATATTGGCTATAAATAAATCAATATTTATTAATTTTACTTTAGTTTTTCTAATGTGTTACATTTTACAGATTGATACATTTTCACGATTCTGCAATATGCAGTCTCACACCTCATAGTCACCAAATTCTGAGAAAAGGAAGGTTTGGAGTGCATATCAGACTTAATTTATCTATTTCTACTATATTTAGATTTTGTGACTATATTGATAAATCCATCAGTCTTGTCTTTATTTTTTTCTTTTGGTCACTTACCTGTGTTGTCTTCTTTGATGCCTCCATGGAGTTTTTAGACCACGGTGATAGGTGCAGTAATTGTGACTGTGGTGGTCTCAGGTGTGCTTGTGATGAATTGTGAGGAAGCTTCCTGATTAACCACAGAGCTCACTGTTGGTTCACTGGACAAAATCACTGTTGGCTCATCAGCAGCAATGATATTGATGGTAGGGGTGACTGCCTTATCCTGATTTTTCTTTGGGGGAACGGCAATTTGTGATGGAGTTGATTCACTGGGTGGGAAAAGTGTTGCCTCATCAGCAGAAATGGTATTGACAGCAGGGGTGACTACCTTATCCTGATTTTTCTTTGGGGGGATGGCAATAAATGATGGATGTAGGTATGGGTGACGTACCAGAGTGGGTGGGTAGATATTTGGTAGGGTTTGCCATTGAGGAATTTGGGCATGTGGCCTAATTGAAACTGGTTTTGTATGATATGGGTAAGGCATATATTGGTTATTAATTGGTACAGCTGGTCTATATTGGTAGTAATTGGGTGCAATGCGTGGATAACTCTTCCACACATAATGAATTGGAATATATTTGACTGTGCTTTGATCAAACAATCTTTTATCAGTCTCATGGCACTGCAAAGAATAAATTGTGCAGAATGGTGTTATTATAGGATAGAATGTAGAGATATCTTAAATCAGAATTTTTTTGAAATAATGTTATGGTATTTAACATTGACTAAGTACAATATTAAAAGTAATAAACCCCATAACCATATTTATTATTTTACAAGATATGATTTATACATTTCCCTTCCACTTCTTAATTTTCAACAAATATTAAAAATAGTATTAGTTTCAAACAAATTAGATGAGGTAACCCATAATGTAAACCACATTGCCAAGAGCTTGGCATATATGAAGAGTGCTCGGTAAATGTTGAGCATCATGTTAGGTACAACAGGTAGAAACATCTCTTAGAGACCTTTGACATACTATACACAAAGAGACCACACACAGAGAAATATATATATATATATATATATATATATATATATATACACATATATATATATATATATATATATACTTCCCTGCCCTCCCTTAAAAATCTCTCTCTTTCTCTATATATATATATACACATATATATGTATATATATACATATATATTACAAATATGTTTGTATTTACTAGTATATATGCAGTCTCAGCACATGTTCATAATTGTTTAAATTTTTTTTTATCTAGAGATTAGGCTGAGAGCACATTTGTTTTTCCCCTAAATTAATTATAGCAGAATAGTAAAATAATATGATGTGGGAGATTCTGGATTTATACTTTAAATTTTTTTCCAGTTTAATTTTATCCATTAAATATAATTTAGGCAATTTTCTATTTTTATTTGCTTCTGCTCTACTGATTATGTATATTTATCAAAATATATCTTTAGGTTTTTTCCATATAAATAGAAAAAATAAACAAAATTACACTGTAAGCAAGCATTTTTCATGAAGGGGGATATTTAAATATATTCATTTAAACATATTTGGGAAACAAAAGGAGGAAGTAAATACAAGTGCACGAAAAATACTCAAAGGTTCTTAGTGGGTTCTTTCCCAAAATCTTAAAAAGTGGGCAGGAGCGATATCATTAAATTCTGCTTTTGTTTTCATATTTTCTCAATGTTAAATTAATGAAAGAGTTTTCTCATGTTGTTAAATATACATGAAATCCAAAAAACACATTATTTAGGTTATAAAACAAAACCAAGATTTATAGAACATTGAGGTTGATTCATGTTTGCTGAAGGGTTTTTTACAATGATTATTAAGTTTTTTAAGGAATTTAAATATTTATTTAGTTTTTAGACAGAAGCATTTTAATATCATTGGACTTTGCAGAATATTATACTTGGAAGTTCATGTCTCTACAAGAAGTAATTAAAGTAAACTTACTGTTTGTTGTTCCTGGTTTTGCACCTCTGCACCCTGGTGAGGTTCAAAGATATAGTAAGAAATACATTTTTTTTTTTTAAAAAGGCAGGGTCTAGATTTTTGTGTGCTTATTAAAAGCTTTTATATTATTGACACAACACTAGAGGCCTGGTGCATGTATTTGTGCACCTGTGGGGTCCCTAAGCCTAGCCTGCAGGTATGGGGCCAAGACCGGCTCTCCGACATCCCCCAAGGGGTCCTGGATTGCCAGAGGGCGAAGGCCAGGCTGAGGCACCACTGGTGCACTATCAGGGCCGGGGAGGGACCGCAGGAGGGCTCCAGGGCATTTCTGGCCCATCTTGTCCAGTCCCGATCAGCCAGACCTTGCCCCCAACTGCCCTTCCCTGCTGGCCTGCTTACTCCCAACTGCCCTCCCCTCTGACCTAATCTCACCCCCAAGTGCCCTCCCCTGCTGGCCAATTTGGTTTTGATTTGTTGGTTTCTATGCCAGTCAGTGTGAAAAGCTCCGCCTCCTAGGCAGCCATTGGCTCCTCACAGTTCACCCAGATTTGGTTCTGATTGGTCGGTTTCTATGCCAGTAAGCATCCCTGGGCCTGATCAGAGAGGCGAGGTTGATCAGCAGCCCCCATGGAGAGAAACAGAGGTGGGCTGTTGGTGAAATCCAGAAAGAAAGAGAGAGGAAATGGCTGATCAAGTCTCTCCGGGCCTCTCTCTGGGCCTGATCCGCAGATCCCTTGGCAGTCAGTGCTGGATCTCTGAGCCCGCACCAGCAGCAGTCAGTGCTGGGTCACCGCAGCAACCTAGCATTGACTGCAGGACTGACTTCTGGTGTTTGGTGGAGCCTTGGTTTTTATATATCAGGATGGTTTCTCTTTTATTGTAGCATTGTAAAATATTGTAAAGCATTTTCCATGGTTATTTCATCTACAAGGTCTGTGAACCACTGAAAAAGTGACAGCAATTTACCTATTACAATGATAATAATAATGAACCTCATAAATTGTCTT